ATATACATATATGATTGTAAAACTAATTAATGAAAAAAAGGGGCCATGAATTACAAAAGAGCAAGAAGGGGAATATGGGATAGTTTAAAAGGAGAAAACGGAAAGGGAAAATATTGTAATTATATTGTAATCTCAAAAATGAAAGAAAACATTTTTGAAAAATAGAGGAAGAAAGATGATAAGTTTATGTGTCTTAGCAACTCTGTTTTGAGACTAAAGCATCTTTAGAAAATCTAAAGGCAGCAGTCGGTCTCTCTGTGCAAAGGCTGAATCTGATAGGAAATTCTTGTTGCCCTGAATTTCCATAAAAAGCAAATATTATTTATTAAATAAAGCTCATTTAATAAAAACGGGGTAATGTTAAAACTTATGTATTTATTAAGAATTATTACAAACACAACTGGCAGAATGTGGTATAAATATTAAGACTACTTCAATAAGTTACAGTAAGAAATTTGAATAAGAAGATATGATGTGAGGAGAGAATTAATAAGATTACAAACAAAAGATCCCCATTGTGTTTTAAAAAGCAGTAGTAATATCAGTTGAGCATATATATCTAAAATAAAGCAGGAGTCACGGCCCACTCAACGTACTGTTTCCCAGAAAAGCCTTCATTGTGCCTTGACACTTCTTTCTCTCCTTTGCTTTATTGGTACTTCAGGGGCTCTGGGCTCACGCTGACATTTTTCCCCCAACTGAAGGAAATAATGTTGTATTGTACAGCTCAGTGAGTGTTCTCTGTTACTTTCCTATCTACATTATCCATCTCTTTAGAAGTTTTCTTTTATAAAAAGGCTATTTTAGAGACACTTAAACTTTACATCTTCAATTCTAAAACCTCTTTTATCAATGAAGAACAGAGTCCCAGAGCAATAAAACCATCTCTTTTCAAACAGACAATTGTTTCATATTTCATATAGTTACAGAAGACTTCCAGGAAGTAACACACACACACACACACACACACACACACACACACACACACACACGCTTTTTTCACCAATGGGGATAAATTCTTCCCCAAAATCTCTTTATGCTAGATCATTCTTCACTCCAAATGAAGCATTATAAACTCTGAGGATCCAGATTTTACTGCTCCACCTAGGAAGTAACCATCACATTTTATATCCAAACGGACATTTGGCAAGTATAGTGGAGTAGTAGTCTGTAATTATCTTGAAACAGCAGATGTAAATTAGGACTGTCCTGAGTGAGCCAAAATCAATGGTCATATTAACATTGTATCAAAAATATGCAGGGAAAATATTTTCATGGAGTTTAGTAACCAATGATTTACAGCTATTTCTCAAGGATGGGGCTTTATGGAATCATACTATCTTAGGTTCATTCTTCCCTTGCTCCCTCATACCACATATGGTATGACATGATATAGAATTTCTTCATTATAACTATTTTTTTTTTTTTTACAAATCAGACATACACAGAGAAGGTGATCAAAGAACCAGGCATGGCTTCATAACACAAATAATAATAATACCTCTATTTAGGACATTATTACATGGTATGTTGTCTTTGGAAAGTTCTGGCATGGACAGATGTTGTTTGCAAACTTTCTTAGGACTACATACAGCAGATCATTCATCAGTCTTTGTTCTCCTGAGCAACGACCATAGCATCACTCATCATAGTTCAGTCCTTCCTCTCCAGTTCACAAAAGCCACACAATCTGTTAACCCATTCCCTGTTGAAAACTCTCACATGGTGAAAAGTAATTTGCTCATCTAATCAAAGGTGAAATTTCAAATACTGGGAGATCACTGTGTCCCACGCTATTACTTTATTATTGGGCCTTTTAGGAACTCAAAGTAGAAAGCAAGATTCACAAACTTAAAGTTTGTTTGGGTTGCTGTGTCTTGACAATTAGATGGTTATAGCCACTAAACTACAACTCAAGCATATTGCCCTAACCCAAATGGACTAACACGTTTTCTCATGTCAGGTTAGAAATATCAGCTGGGTGCTTTCTCTGCCTCTCTGAACTAGCAGGTTTTCACACCCCATTCTCAAATGTAAGGACATGCTGATTGGTCGGTAGATTACAATCCAAACTATATCATCTTGAAAATGATGCTCTCAAGAAGATGGGCAGCCATGGCTATTAGTTCAGGTTCATGACCATTAAAAGACAAAATTCCACATCCTTATTTTCTGTTGTTTTCCTTCTGAGAACAACTCTGGAAACATATACTTAAAACCTAAATGAGACAACTTTCATATGTCAGGAGGGCCGAGTAACTTTTCAACACTAAACCAAGTCTGGTTTTACTCCGGCTGGAGCACTTGTCCGTGTTCTTCCACAGAAAGGCACGCTGTTCTCGTCCAGTGTCTGCTTGATGGTGTGATGTGCGTGTTTAGTGCAGCACCTGTCGAGAGGATTCATTTTATTTCTCGTCCCAGACTCAACTCCTAAGACTCACACTGCAAGATGGCATTTGTACTTTAAATTTTTCTCTTCTCCTAAATGTAGCAGAATTAAATACAATTAGGTAATAAAAGAAATCGCCTACGAAGGGCATTTATTTTAATATCCAGTCTGGGAAATTTTGATGTACAAACTTAAAAGCCTACCTTCAGTATTAATGGCGATTTAGTTATTACATAGAAAATTAAGAATAAAATATGTAAAGATTAAAAAACTAACCTAACCTGACTATATCTAGGCAAGGTGGAACTCTTATATCGACTGTTGCTTGTTAAGCAGATGGTATTTGAATGTAGCACCTTATATATCACAGCCTAGGAAGGGGTGAAAGCAATGACACCAGGAATTGTGCCCAGTGTGATCAGGCAGTGAAGGAATAAAATGAATAAACAACAATAATAAAAAGAATACATCTACAACAGCGCAACTCCACGGTCTCACCACGTAGTCATTTCACAGGCACAAGTATGAATGAGGAAATTCACCGCTTAAATGTAAGAGGAGCTTGTTAAAGCAAAAGAAAAGTGTTAGCTCAAGCACAGAGAATTAATTTGTAGACTGACAGATAGACTACACTGACAAGAGTCTGGGTAGATGGAGCTTGAAAGGTGAGTTAGCGGTAGTCACAAACAGCAGGTGTCATTTCTCAGTGACAAAATGAACTACTTTATATTTGAAGTAATCAGCCAATCTTATATCAGAGTCATGACTTTAGCCATGTAACAGCCCCCTTATATCAGTCATATGTTTAGCCATGTAACGCTCCCCCCCATACACACATTTCATGTACAACTTTTATAATGACTAACACTACTTTTTTGCTGTTCATGTAATGATAAATGCATGCATGACTTTAGGAAGCTGTTATAATTTAAGTTGGAGTGCTTACTCTAAAATAATTCACAAAAGAAATTAGCAATCTGTTCAGCCAACATTTCCTGAGGCATTTCTTTTGCCTCTTGCCTACACATATGGAATCCAGGGAGAAATTCCTCACTAAGAAGGAAAGTTCACTTCTACGTTTTATGTGTTTTCACTGACAGCTGAGACCCGGTCTGTGCATTCTTTTTCAAGCTCAGCATCTTCTCTGCGTGGACTCTGGGAACCACTTGAAGGCAGATCTGCTGACATTATCTCAGTAGCCACAGCATCTATCACAGTGCCATCGTCTTGATGATCTATGGCTTACCCTGGATTCATTGGCTTGGCCAGGGTTAAAGTGAACAACAAAGAAAAACCTTGCCCTTCCTTAATACTTATAAAGCAAATACATATTTGGGGATTACTAAAAAGTGCATAAAAAGTTAATGCTTTTATTTATCTCAAATGGCCGCTCTTTATGATCACATTTCACAGACTCTTCAATATAGACTATTATAAACTGCCTGGCTCCCCCAGATGATTTTTACATTCCTTTATGTTGGATATAATGAATCAGTTCAACAAAGTTTCTTAAGCAGTAGTCCTTGAAATCACAAACATTAAATAAACTATTTCAGAAGTACATAGCCATGCACATATGTGGTTAAACTCATTTGTCATGGGTTTAGAGACACAGAAATTCTCATGGAAAAAATGACTGATACCTGGCTGAATGGATTTGAAAGAGTAATGGCACAAATCACTGGTAGAATTTTTCTTAAAAATTATCAGAAACACAGTCCTATAAAGAGTACCTACTACCTGGTTATGTTTGTAATTTTTTTCATTCATAAAATTACAATTGTTAGAGAGTGCTGAGAATCCAGTTGGTTATATTCTCACTTTTCATTCATTGATAAAATTTACGCTTATTAACCTAATAGTCCTGGAGTAACTGCTCTTCTCTCTCTCCCTCTCCCTTTTTCTTTATATCACAGTAGGGTGGTTAATAAGTATTTCATGGGTCTTTTAGAGAGAAACAATGTTTTTCAACTAGATTTATAAGACATTAGAGAAATGAAAATTAGTTTTTTCAAACCTAAAAGTACAAAATAATCAGCCAAGCTAAAGGAAAAAAAATACGAAATTATTCTGTTTCAAATCATCCAGTTTATATTAAGATCAAAATAAGTACAACTATCTCATTATCTTGTCAAAATGATAGTCACCCGGGAATAGTAGGGACCACCCAGAACTGTGGTGAGGCAGGCTATAGGCACAGGGATAGATGTGTTTCTGGGTATTAGATCCAGGTCACTTTGAATGGATTACTTTTGAATAGTTTCATAATGCTCATTTATTTGTTGTTTATATGTTACACCTCAATTTAAAAACAATGTATGATTAAATGTAAAAAAATAGGGAGGGAAGAATGAAAAACACTCAAATGTCCTTTCCTAATCCAATAAATTTTAAAGTGTCTTGCATAAGCCACATACCACTTTATCTGTGTTGGCTTTGAACCTGTTAGCAGTCTCAAAGCTAGTACTGAACTTGGGCATGTGATCTTCTGGCCCTGTGTCCTAAGAAGGAGGTCCCTGTTTTTCTTGGTTTTCAACCATGAGCTATCATGCAGCCTGTTTGAAGCATGCGCTCCTTCAGAGGAGAACTAACACTGCTTGTCCTATTGCAGGTGAACTGTGTGAGGAAAAGCTGGACTTCTGTGCCCAGGAGCTGAATCCCTGCCAGCATGACTCCAAGTGCATCCTCACACCAAAGGGATTCAAGTAAGTCCAAAGCCACTTGGGACTCACATTGAAGTTGGGGCTTGGGTTGGGGGTTTCTTTGAGGAGCCTGTCTCCTCCACCATCCCTAGCTTCACATTTTTTTTGCCAAAGATTAAAGAATGGATCGCATATACGCTAGTGCTTGATACAGTTTTGCAAATATTCCTATGCAGCATGGGCCTTTATTAATACAATGAAAAAATAAAACAGGGAATCCTTTTGTTCAGCACAATGGCTAGGAAGTACTCTATGCAATGGAGCATCCTTTGAATCAGCTCCCTTAAGTTTATTGAACGACCAATTCAATTAAATTCCTAACATGCACCAGGTAAGCTCATTTTAAAACAGAGAACTTGGCTTTAAAGTAACTGAAAATTCCATGATCTAAAACAGTCTCCTGCTTGTGTAGGCTGGGAATAACACTGTGATACTGTGGCCAGACTTCTCTGGACAGTCCTGGTTTGTGTCTGTTTTCTTTCTGTAATTATTGAAAAGAACCATTACTAACCTGTTCTTGGTATCTAGTACATCCCATTCACACTGCAAGGGAGCTAAAAAAAACTTATCAAAATAATTTCTATCCCCCCTAGCATTTCGGTATGCTTGCGTACCAAGTTAGATGATACCTTTGCAAAACCTTAGTGATCTAACAGCAGTTTTAGAGCTGGCAGTAACTTAACCATCATCTCGCCTAAATTCTTCATTTCAAACACAAGAAAAGTTTAGCCCAGAGAAGTCTGGTAGCTATGCAAAGGCTGCAAGTTAAGGTACCTGTAGACCTGGAACAAGACTTGATACTTTGTAGTTATGTGGTTCATGGAAGCCATATCCCTACCAACAGGTTTTCTCATTTAGTAATACCACAGTTGGCTAGGAATCAAGGTTAGTTTCGATTTTAGGGGATGACACAACTGTATTCAGGAGTGAAGCTGTGCTTCTATAGACAACTTTCAAAGACATCCTCTACCCCATCAGCTGATGATTAAGTCCCATCTACAGTCACCGGAGCATGTGATGACATCACGTTGGGTTTCTGTAGCATTATGGACCTCTACATATAATTTTCTCTTGGAATGACCAGATTCCCAATAGTTGTACAACTCAAAATTTAAATTCACTCATGTCCAGGAGATATCTTGCCAGCAAATGTAATTTGAATTGTAAATCTAAGAGTTTGACTTAAAAAAAAATGCCAAGTATTCAACCCAAAGTCTTACATTTGCTAGGCAAAGTTCCTCCCACTCATCTGTATCTCCAGTCTGTTGCTACTTTTAATTATATTTTGAGAGTGTCTTACTAAATTGCTTAGCTACGTGCAAACCTGTGATTTGTTCACTTAACCTCCTGAGTAGCTAGGGTAGTAGATAACACTGTTAAGCTCTACAAGGATTTGGTGTTTACAAAACATATTATCACGAATTCAGAGTAAAGCAGTAATGTGAGGTCAGAGCTGCCTTTCAAAGGTTACACTGAATAAAATAACTATAGAATTTTCTTTTGACAATATTATCAGTCAATGTGTTTTAAAATCTAAATTTTTAGAATGCATGGATATAGTTGTAGCACATCCTGATTATCTTCAGGATTATATTTTTGAGGAAAAAAGAAAGGGGGGATGTAGTTCTCAGTTTGTCTTTTATTATATTTTAATTTCCAATTCTAGCCAAAAACTAAAAGTCTTGTTAACTTTTTAAAAATTATTTTATACACAATGCTACATTGCATTTTATTCTACCAAACTCTGTAGGTAAATTGCCTTAACTCCCAGTGGCTTTGATCTGCCCACAGTTGAAGTTGGCAAGTCAAAACTACATCACTTATATGGAGCAAACATCACCACTTTGCAAAGAATTAACAAGGATGGTTTCCTGGGACACCGTATCTAACAAACAGGTTCCACAGGACTTTGTGTCATTCTAAGACAAGTTATTAGTAAGACTTAATGGAAACAATTTTAAACAAGGAGAGGTTGCCTTTAACAAAGGGCTTGATTCTTAAGTATTTTCTAATACTAGCAATTAGGTTGCATACTCTCAAGGGTACGCCTTGCTGGAATCTAGATGGACTGATTTGAAGGCCCACGGCTTTTACCAGTCAGCAATTCACGAGCTCATTTTATAGCTGTATGTAGTTGAGCTGAAAACAGGTTAAGTCAGAGTGTGGGCTATTACTCCCTCTTATAAATAATTGCACACTGTGGGAAGCATAGCTGCAGTAAGAAAATGGTCTTGAAAACCAAACAAGAGGAAGCTGGTGGAGAAAATCTTTACTGAGAATTGTTGTTTGGACAATTGTAATATTACTGCAATTCCATTTTCTTATTACTAAGCTAACAGAGCTGGTTTTACTTTTCGTGCTTTATTATACACTCTATAAATCTCTTGAATTGCTTTGAGATATTTTTAGAGTATAATATGCCATAAGCAACATTTTCAAAAATACATAATTCTTATCAGCATTTAGAGTCCTAAACATTATAGATACATATATTATGTTTATATATTATCTTTTATATTCTACATATCCTCCCGCACTCCTCATTGTAAAGCCGAATTGATATAATAGACTTTATTGGTCATAAAAGATTTGTGAAATTCTTATTTAAATGTTCCTTCCTGCCTTAAAACAAGAGGACAGATTAATCAGTCATGGTATAGTTTCTAGTTCTAAAGGGTTTAAAAAATAGTAGTTGGAGAAAAGAGGGCATAAAATATCTCCTAGACAGCTACTGTGGCAAATGTATGGTTCTCTTATCTTTTACTTTGATTTCTTTTCTCAGATAAATAATTCAAAGTGTTTCAAAGCCTGTCTTCTCCTTTTAATGCTCAGCACTTCAGTGGCGCTGCCCACATTAACACTGATGGAGGCTCCCTTCCAGGGCCCCGTTCATCCATTGGGAATGTGTATGACCACTTAGGGTCCGCTTAGCTTCAGACTAGCTATTTACTTCGCTCAATTGTGATTTAGTATTAAACCCAAGCAGCTTCAGGGCAAGACTGCCTCCAAACGAGCTCATTTGTTTTGAAACCATACGTACCCAGCTGAATGGCTCTCTTAGAAGAGCTGTGCTACCATTTGTTTTAGTACATCAGCTCTCCAGTGAATAACCTGATTTTGCCTCTTTACATAATATCCTTGGCACTCAGTAATGCCACATTCAATCAGGTATTTTTTTTTTTACTATTTTTATTTGCCTAAATGCTGTTTTCTATAGAATACTGAATAATTAGTAGAAAATAGTAATTATTTTTTTAGAAATATCAAGACTCATATTTATGAAAATTAGAACTGCTTATTGATCATGCAGATATCTGAGTAACATGTTAATGATTTTACACATAACATTTAATTTAATGTTTAATGTCCTTGTAAAGCAGCAATTATTATACCATGTTAGAGATGAGAAGGGGGTGCTTAAATGTTAAGTCCCTTGTTTTACAGCATTTGAAATTAGCCAGATGTAGGAAGACAGCTAATGTGAGATGTTACTTACATTTAGAATTTTAAAAGTTGAACTTGGAGAAACAAAATAGAAGGGTAATTCCACAATTTAGGAGAAATGGAAATGAAAGTTCCTTATATTAAGAATATATAGGGAGGATGTGAGTGTGCTCTGAGATCTGATGTAGAGATAGTGACTTCAGTTAACAGCATCATATATTTGCTAAGAGATAAAACCATAATTATTTTTACTACAAAAGTATAAGAAAATAAGGTAACTACTCAAGGTTTTGTTGTTGTTGTTCTTGCTGTGACAAAACACTTTGACAAAAACAACTTGGAGACAAAAGCATTTACCCTGGTCATAATTCCATGTACAATTCATCATGGCCAGGTGGTTAGGGTGACAGGAGCATGAAGCAAGTGGACGAACCACATCAACTACCCAAAAAGCAGAGAAAACGGTGAATACATGTTTTGTTGAATTCTATCTCTTCATCTGTACAGTCTGGGATCTCAGTCAGGAATGTTACCATCCATCAGGAGTAGGTCTTCTTATTTCAACCTGTGCAGTCCAGAAGATCTCCCATAAACACAACCAGAGGCCCATCTCCCAGACTACTCCTGTCAAGTAGACAATACTAACCACCACAGAGAAGTGATGTCCTTATTGAATGATGGGGCATCTTTTGGGTATATACCTAGAAGTGGTATAGCTAGATATTGAGATAGCACTATTTCTAATTTTCTGAGATAGTGCCAGATTGATTTCCAAAGTGGAAAATGTACAAGGTTACATCCCACCAGCAATGGAGGAGGGTTCCTCTTTCTCCACATCCTCTCCAGAATTCTTCATCCCTTGAGCTTTTGATCTTAGCCATTCTTATGGGTGTGAGGTGAAATCTCAGGGTCATTTTGATTTGCATTCCCCAAATGACTAAGGATGTTGAGCATTTCTTTAAGTGTTTCTCTGCCATTTGATATGCTTCTGCTGAGAATTCTCTGTTTATTTCTGTTCCCCATTTTTTTAATTGGATTACTTGGTTTGTTGGTGTTTAACTTCTTGAGTTCTTTATATATTCTGGATATTAGCCCTGTATCACATATAGGGTTGGTGAAGATCTTTTCCCAGTCTGTAGGCTATCATAACAAACTTTTTGAAGGAAAAAAATCAAAAATTAAAAAAAATAAATAAATAAAATTCACTGTAAAAACAACTCTCCCCCCTTTTTACAAGGCACCATAGAAGAGTTATATAGAGGGATTCCCTTGCTCTCAAAGTATTGTACTATGCTCTACCCATCTTCCTTATGACATGTGAGATCATGCAGTGCTTACAAGATATGAGCAATAGGCATGGTGATATTTAGTGAGGCTACTACCGAATAGTTTCCTGAATACATATGCTTCAGTACCCTAAAAGAGGATGTGATTATTAAGAACTTACTTAGTTCTTCTTGGGGAGATAGCAGATATTCATCATGGATAAGCGATTGTAAGGGTTCAGTGCTGGAGAGAGTAGGGAGGATCTGAAGCTACTTAGAAGGCTGCACCTCATAAAGCACATTTTTTATTGCTGTTTATATCTGAAATCTCAGTGAATTACATCACAAGGAGCTGTAACCATGATTACATGAGAACTACAAGAGCCTGAACAGCGTTACATGTTCTGTAAGAAATTTCTCTAGAGAATCATACAGTCCTAGTTCCTTAATGCCACTGCTGGGTTTTCTATGATCATCACAAGAGCACAGTTTTTAAATGGAAACTTGGCCTACTGGTTATCGAACTGTGTGGTCAGCAACTGAGGAACAAGGCTCTAGTCAAATTCATTAGATCCCACAAGAGACACTTCAAAGTGTATAACAGTGGGTAAGGGCTTGAGCTTTTCCTTCCATAATATCTACACATGTACAGGTTCATAACGATATCATCAGTATCACAGAGATGTAGAATGGAATAATGAGTTTACTGAATGTCTTAGAATGAATAGTAGGATGGGAAAGATGTTCAAAGAGTATAATCTTCATTATTCCAGTCTTCCATCATCATTGGAACTGACACTGTATATAGTCTGTGACAAAATAAAACTCTTACTACTTTTAAAATATCCTTAATGGGGAAGGAGCATAGGAGAAGAAGAAAGAGGGAGGGAAGGTGGGATTGGGAGGGGATGAGGAGGGGACTAAAGGTGGGATACAAAGTGAATAATTAATAAAAATAAAATTAAAAATTAAAAAATATATCCTTAATATTCTTTGTAAATTTGCCAGCCATCGTAGCATATGACCATAGTCCCAGAATTCAGGAAAGAGAGGCAGGATGACTCTCCTTCATAAATCTCCTTAAGGGTGTGAAGGAGTGAGGAAGAAACCGTGGCACAGTAAGCTTCTTTGTATTTGGATTTGGTTTGTTCCTGGTCATGAAGGAGTTAATAATTCCTCTGGCTGTTAGTACAGTGTAGCCTGTGCTGTGCTGCAGACGCCCATTCCTGGGAGGACCATACTGCTGTATATAAGTTTTCCTGTTAAGATGGTGCTATTTTATCCAGATGAAATGCCACGGCGCGGCTTTTTTTTTTTTTTTTTCATGCTATTTTGGCTCAGTCACGTTTGGAACCTTATCTCCTCGTTGAAACAGGTGTGACTGCACTCCAGGATATATCGGGGAGCATTGTGACGTTGACTTTGACGACTGCCACGGCAACAAGTGCAAAAACGGTGCTCACTGCACAGATGCAGTGAATGGGTACACGTGCGTCTGTCCTGAAGGCTACAGGTGAGGACATGCGTACACATTTGTGTTTAGGGAGCTATCTCTAGGGCTCTGGCCCACCTAGTCTAATCTAATTTCTCTTTACGTTTATTAGTGGCTTGTTCTGTGAGTTTTCTCCACCCATGGTCCTCCCTCGCACCAGCCCCTGTGATAATTTTGATTGTCAGAACGGAGCCCAGTGCATCATCAGGATCAGTGAACCAATATGCCAATGTTTGCCCGGATACCTGGGAGAGAAGTGTGAAAAATTGGTCAGTGTGAATTTTGTAAACAAAGAGTCCTATCTTCAGATTCCTTCAGCCAAGGTTCGGCCTCAGACAAACATCACACTTCAGGTGAGAGGTTTCTCTCCAGCAAGCGAGCAGAACTGACTAGAGGACACATTTAGCTGCTCAACACCGTGAAGGAAGAAAATCTTCCCTGCGGGAAAAGCTTCAGAATGTTTCATTTCAATATTTGTATTTTAAAAATAAGTTAGGAGGCAGCATGTTAGTTCACTAAATGGTGGGGGCACCAACGTTTCGTCTACACTTTAAATGAAGGTGTTTCGCTTGTTACCTTTTAAGGCTGTGCCATTTCTTCTCCGCCCATGGGAATTTATCACCTGTAACTCTTCACTCAGAGCCTTGAGGAAGAGGCGTGGAATTAACAAACATTTCTTATGTCTTACCACAAAGACATTTACTATTAATCAAATCATTCGCACCCCTGTGGTGTGAATTATACTCGATTAGGGATAATCAGTGTATTGTATTTGGACAAATTGGGGCTACACCCTTCCTTTCCCTGGTAAGCAAAATTATTTAATATATTTTAGGTTTAAGTGACTTTGGGCCACTTCCTATAGATTTCCCATTTCTTTCAGGGTTTGTTTTGTTTTATTTTGCTTTTTGCCCTGACACTGACAGTACCAGCAAGGCTTTTGAAATTATAGGGCAAGAATTCTGGGAGAGAGGCAGGTTTCCTTTGAGAATCTCTCTTCACACCATCCTCCATCTAGTGCTTACCACATTGAGTAATTGTGTGAGGTACACTCTATTGTAACTTTTAAATTTTAACTTTTACTTAAGTACTTTAACATCCCTCAAAAGAAAAAGAAACATAAAAAGGTAATTATTTTCTATTTCTTCCTGCACATAGCATAAGTGTAAATAATTTTGTATGGGCTTTGAGAATCCGTTTTACTTAATATAGTCACAGTTAGTATATGTGAAGAATAAATCTTCGAGTAGGAGCAAAAAATGAAAAAAAAAATACAGATACATAAAACTTTCCAGCAAAGGCAATTCTGTCATGACATTTAACATATTAAATATTTGTTGCTGTTTTTCTTGAGATTTTATGGATTTATTTGCAACAAAACAATTCAACAGAAATGTTGCCTTTAAGCAGTAACTTCAGCAAACATTTTCTCATACCCACAAGTCAAGCCATCGTGGAAACCCTCCATTCACTTAACAGCCTGTTTCTTTGGAGGGATACATTTATTTGGTTGAGTGTGCATCCTGACGTCAGGGCTACCTCCTAACAGATTGCCACAGATGAAGACAGCGGCATCCTCCTGTATAAAGGTGACAAGGACCACATTGCCGTGGAACTCTATCGGGGGCGCGTCCGAGCCAGCTATGACACCGGCTCTCACCCGGCTTCTGCCATTTACAGGTGAAGATCTCTCACTTACTGGTAAAGGTGAAAAACACTTATTCAATGAAGAACTGCTTCTCTTCTCCAATCCTACATGGGGAGGGGTGGGAATAGCTTAGTGATAGCAGATGGCCTAGATTTTTATGAACTGCTAAAGTAGGGTACCTGAGACCAAGTTAACATGAAAATCAGAGATTTAAGTCTTCATATTTTGCAAACTAGAAAATCCAGGATCAGCGTGCTCATATCTTGCAAAAAAATATAACTTATGGCAGTATCATCCTATGGTAGAAAGAAAAGGGGGTGGAGAGACCACACAGGCTAGAGATAAGGGAAAGTGCTAGTCCATCCCTTCATCAGGGACCCACCCATGCTAACGTACCCATTCCCTGAAGCTTCATGCTATTCCCACACGAGCACAGAGCCCGTGAGTCCTAATTAGCTGGGAGCTTGCCTACCTTTCAGCACTGTTGCATTGGAGGTTATATATTTTATAAATGAATTTAATGGCAATACTCAAGCTGTGGCAGTAGGCTTTATAATAAATAACTCTTAGTACCCATAATCCTCGATCAAGCAGAGAACGTTTCTTCACATGAATGAGCTAGGCAAGTCATAAATGTAGGGAAAGACTACACCCTCATTCTTTCATTTTTAAAAAAGTCTGCATATAACAGTGCTGAAAGGTAGGCAAGCTCCCAGCTAATTACGACACTATAACAAGGAGCCATGATATGGGCAGTGCGGTAGAATTTGGGAGGGAAAGAAAAATCAAACCTCTTCCTACTCAGTTCTCCTTGGATATTGTCATGTAAAAATATTTTCAAAGGCTATTGTTTATTTGTTTACTCAGTATGAACTTTTCTCTCCTTTAAATATTGATTCATATTTAGGTTGGTGTTGTTGATGTTCTTGTTGTTGTTTCCAGACAAGGTTTCTCTATTTAGCCCCTCTGTCCTAGAGCTCATTCTGTACACAGGCTATTCTCCAAGTCAGAGAGCCACCTGCCTCTGCCTCCTGAGTGCTGATGCCAGCATTCCCAGCTTGGTTCACATTTATAATACTCTATTTATGAACAACAACAACAAAAACATATGTAGGCCAAATACACTTGGCTATAGGTGACTGGGCGTTAATTATGACATCAAGCATATTTGTGAATATATACAAATATGCTTTAAAAGCAGTCATAGATCATTGGCTCCTTAATAAACAATTCTGGGAAAGTGGATGCCAATCTCAGCTGTGAATGGAATTTGAACAGTCTTTCTAGTGGTGAGCTAGCCCACTTGGGACTCTTTTTTTTTTTTTTTTTCTTTCTTTTTAGTTACATTTTGTTAACTCTGTGTCCCAGCTGTATCCCGCTCCCTCATTCCCTCCCCAACCCCACACTCCCTCCCTGGTCTCCTCCCTGCCCCTTTCCAAGTCCACTGATAGGGGAGGACCTCCTCCCCTTTCATCTGACCCTGTTTTATCAGGTATCTTCAGGGCTGGCTGCAAAGTCCTCCTCTGTGGCCTAACAGACTGCTCCTCCCGGGGGGGGGGGGGGGGGGGGTCAAACAGCCTGCCCTTGAGATCCTGTTAGAAATAGTCCGTGCTTGGGACTCTTTAAGGCATAGAAACAGGCATATAACTATCGGTTTTCAAGTGGAATACAATGGTTATTTCACCTCCACATGTTGATGAATTACTGCCAACATTTTGTATTATTAGGATTTAAATTACATAGTGTTTCAGCCTGTAAAATGACCTCATAAATTTGTGGTTCATTTTGTTTCAATTATTTTTTTTTCCTTTTGATGACAATGGTACAATAGAGAACTCTGCCAAACCATATTAAATATTCTTGGGTTGGCATATTAAATTAACAGTCACTTAAAATATACCAAAATATTTCTATATAAGTTGAAGGAACCCAAGCTATTTTCTCAAATGAAGGCATACTGGAAAAGGATTTTTATATTTCTTTGAGTCTAATGTTTATTGCCATGTTTTTGTCTCAATTAAAAAATAGCACATGTCCTGTGACAGTTATAAAAAAAATATTATGTTGAGTATTCTGTATTTAAAACTAAAAACTTGTGTTCCCTTTAGAACATTATATTCTAGAGACATGTTAACAGGTCTGGACAAACAGGTTCTACTTAATTCCTGTACTTCAAATTGTACAAGTTGGGAGAGCTATTACATTATTTTTTAATTTAATTTAATTTTAATTACACTTTATTTACTTTGTATCCCCCCTCTAGTTCCCTCCTTCCTCCTCTCCCAATCTCTCCATTCCTCCACCTTCTCCATGCATGCCCCTTCCCAAGTCCACTGATAGGGGAGGTTTTCTTTTTCTTCCTTCTGATCCTAGTCTGTTAAGTCTCACCAGGAGTGGCTGCATTGTCTTCCTCTGTGGCCTGGTAAGGCTGCTCCCCCCTCAGGGGGAGGTGATCAAAGAGCAGGCCAATCAGTTCATGGAAAGGATCATCCTGAGTGAGCTATCCCAGAAGCAGAAAGACACACATGGTATATACTCACTCACTCATATAGACATATAATATAGGATAAACCTACTACAATCTGTACACCTAAAGAAACTAATCTAGAAGGAGGTCTCTGGCTAAAATGCTCAATCCCCATTGCGGAAGGCAAAGAGGTTGGACACCAGAAGAAGAAAACAGGAAACAATTTAGGAGTCTCCCACAGTGGGCCTCTGAAAGGCTCTGCCCTGCAGACTATCAAAGTAGATGTTTAGTGTCTGCTTTGAAACACTGCTAGGTAGAGTCTTTCAGATGCCTTTTGCGGTAGACTCCTGTCATACGTTCAATGCACATCCCATTTGTCTTTCTAAATGAGGATTGATCATCTTCGCCCGTGTCTGCTTTCTTGATTATCTTCTTTAGGTGTGTAGATTTCATTATGTTTATCATATCTTGTAGGTCTATATAAGCGAGTATATACCTACCATGTTTGTCTTTCTCCTTCTGGAATACTTCACTCAGAATGATCTTTTCTAGATCCCACCATTTACCTAGCAGTGTTTCAAAGCAGACACTAAGACTCATAACCAACCCCTCGGCAGAGTGCAGGGAATCATATGAAAGAAGGGGAGTTAGTATGATATGGAAAGGATAGGAGCTCTACAAGGACCAAATATATGCGGGCACAGGGTCTTTTCTGAGACTGACACTCAACCAAGGACCATCTATGGATATAACCTAGAACTTCTGCTTGGATGTGGCCTGTGGTAGCTCAGTAACCAAGTAGTTTTCCAAAGTAAGGGGAACAAGTACTATTTCTAACAGGTTCTCCCCCCCCCCAGGGGAGGAGCAGTCCTGTTAGGCCACAGAGGAAGACTTTGCACCCAGCCCTGAAGATACCTGATAAAACAGGGTCAAATGAAAGGGGAGGAGGTCCTCCCCTATCAGTGGACTTGGAAAGGGGCAGGGAGGAGACCAGGGAGGGAGTGTGGCGTTGGGGAGGGAATGAGGGAGCGGGATACAGCTGGGACACAGAGTTAACAAAATGTAACTAATAAGAAAAATAAAATTTAAAAAAAATACTGTAAAAAAAAAAAAAGCAGATGTTGAGACTTAGGGCCAAACTTTGGGCAGAATGCAGATATTTTATAATTTAAAATGACAAGCAAAAATCATATAAAGTTTGGGTATTCTATTACATTAACTTATAATACTTGAATATTAAGAAAATTAATAATATCCTTAGGACAAAAAGGTAAAAAGACAGGGAGGAAAGAAAAAATCGGGAAATATTAGCAAGGAATTGAGAGATTATCAAGTTATAATAGTCCCTTTTAATAAAAGGGGGAGGCCGGCTGTGGTGGTACATGCCTTTAATCCCAGCATTTAGAAAGCAGAGGCAGGTGGATCTCTGTGAGTCCAAGGCCAGCCTGATCTACATAGGAAGTTCCAGAACAGTCAGAGCTACATAATAGAGAAACCCTATCTCAAAAAAAAAAAAAATGTTTTAAAATATGACCAATGGCAGAGAAGAGTAAAGAAACAGTTTTCCCCCTGTCAAGGTGGTCTAACTAGGCCACAGAGAAGAGGACCCAGCCAGTCTTGATGACCTTATAGGCTAGGGTCACATAGCCTAGGGAGGAGGACCTCCCTATCAATGGACTAGGGGAAAGACATGGAGGGGAAAGAGGGAGAGAGAGTGGGAGATGGAGGAATTGAAGGAGGGGCTACAGCCAGGACACAAAGTGAATAAATTGTAATTAGAAAAAGGAAAGAGATATTTGTATTCTATGCAGTTGCATGAGGTAAAGATAGACATAAAAAGGTAGGATGGGTGGACGTATGATTCCTACACAAATGCCATTGCACCTTCTTTTGAGTTCTGAACCATGTAGATGTCATTAGCACTCAAATGGAATTTTGCAGTAATAATAAAATGACTGTACCCTAAAAACTGTCTTAGACACATTTAATCACCTGTCTGGTCTTCACCTAAGAATGCAGACAATAAGTATTTGTGCTGTCTTCTGGGATTATACTGAGAAGTAAAATAAGTAAATAGCCAAACAATTAATATAAGTTAGTAAATAATAATAGTAACCAGCATCATAGATTCAAAATTCCCTCAAATTACTTTTAAAAACATTCCAGTACAAAGATGTTTCCATCACACTTTTTATTTAGGGGCTGTTTTCTTGGCGTCAGTGTTAGGCTGGGTTTCTGTTTAATCCTCTGTTTTTTTTCTTACATGTTCATGTTCACTTTGCAGTTTAATGCTGCTCTAATATTCTGGCTTATCTTCAAAGGTCAGAGAATGGCACAGGCTTCGTGTTTGTTCCTCTCTTTCTGGAAGTCATGAGAGAAAGGTGCTATTTCTGCATTTCTTTAGTAAGAATCCATCAATAGCACCATTGCAATTAGCTCCTGTGAGTTGCTTAATAGTCAGTTAAATTAAATTTTCAAATTATATTTTTATTCAACTCTACATCACATTATTAAAGAAATAGACTGATGCTTTAAAAGTGTAATTAAATATTCTTATTTTAGATA